GTAATAATCTACAACCTGATTTTGTCAAACGAATCTACATACAATAAATGCAATCTATGGTAGTTTTAGACCAACGATTGCTAATAAGAACTTGAAAGTTGTCTTTCAAAATAAAAGAAGAACCATCCTAACTTTTGACCTGATCCAGGACAAGATCCTTCCTTAAAGTTCTAATGCGAGTCGATGGTTTCTTGAACACCTTTTGATGCAATACCGCCGTTCAGTCACACAGCAATTATTTAATTAAGAAAATACGTTTTTATATTTTGTACATATTTTGAACATATTTTTGAGAACAATTTTACACAAACCTACGTCGTAAATCGAATGTACGCATGTATGTATAAAATCATACCTACCCGTTGTATGTACTTCACACATAGATACCAGCTGATATTATGAGATAGCGAACGGCACTTTTTACACAATGATTAATGAGAAGCTGAAAATAAAGTGCGAATTATAATTGATACGTATATATCTAACCGGAAATTAAATTAGATTAGAGCTACTAAGATAACTGTACGAATTATCTATAATCACAGGATGCAATTTACCTTCAACACTTGTAAAATGAATGTAATCTGCAAATGTGCCGGTTCAATACAATTTTAAAATATTTAATCTAAGTATTATACGTACGTATAAGATATATAATAAGTATAATATTATGTGATAGGTCTATCTCACTAATTTTGACTCCCCATTTCAGAGCCTTTTTGTGATGAAAATATATTCATTTTTAAATGTTTTTTGTCTGGAATAAATGTCAGTTAGCACATTGTAAAATTGTGCCAAATTTCGAGTGGATAGACTAATAACTTCATATTTAATACTTCATATATCAGTTATGCCATCATAACAATTGGAACAGTTGTTTTTAGTGAGAAAAGCATTCTAAATGTCAATTATTGAATAAATTCCTTAAAGTTCTGTACCGTTTTTAGTCAAACATTTTCGAACAGGTTCTTATTACCGACGATTATTTAGTATGAGAGGTCTGATGCTGCATGTAAATGTCTTAGTGGGCGTTTATGGTAAAATAGCTAATATTTCAACCCGACAGGGCACAGTTACAAAACCACCTATTCAAATTGTGCTACACACCAATTTTCCATCTTCTTCCAGTCAACCTTATATGAATGTTGTATTACGCCCAAACACAAGCCATATAAAATGTTACGTAATGGTGGATTGCTCCATGGAAAAGATGCTACAAACTATATAAACCGATACATTATGTACATATCATACGCATATGTATTATAGCTAAAGGAGGCTTTTATATAACGCTAAACATAATTGGAAAGAGACGATTGCTGGTCTTTTTCGCTCTTTGTTCTGCACTTACATAATAGCCGATAAACAATACCTCTAGAACCCTTGATGCATGTTGAACATGTCTAATCCCTGCCAGGCTTAGCGGATTTGGTACCCGAACAGATAAATACCCTCACTCGTCGAGGTTCACCTTTTTTCCTCCGCACTTTCACTACGGATTCACTCAGGCGGCTGAATAGGCAGGAGGTTTTCCTACTCCCTCTCCCCCAGGCCTCCCGTTGTACTAATCTCCATTACTGGACGGATGTTCGAGAAATAAGTCCCCCCCACAGTCAGACTATTACTTGCACTCAGGCACCTTCTCCTGACCATTGACACTCAATCGGCCAGGTAGGTTATACCTCGGTCTCTCTTGATGAGTAGGGTCGATTGCGAATTACTTGTAGGGGTGAATGCCTCGGATTTTAGTGTTCGAAAGTAAGCACCTGCGGTCCAATACCTTCAACGACTGTTTACGCTAGACACCTGGTGATTCGGCTATCGCGTCTCGCTAGCCTCAGATGCTTCTGCAGGTCCACCCTATACGCCCAGTCAAATTTTGGACGTTTCATTACCCCTATCCTCAAAGTCATCACCATCCCCCCACAATTTTTTCCCTTTTAAGGTACACTTTTCGGTAACAAAAATACCTTCTTCAGGGACTGAAGTAAACTTTGTTACTGAAGAAAGCTGTTTAGTGACGGGTTTTAGCATGGGAGTTTGAGCTTTTTGCACTACTTTTATTATCGTAAATGTTTAACCCAATTGTTTTTTCATTTCGATGATTTTTTATTTGACTTTATGTCGTTTTATATACTAATATGAAATGAATACATTTCAATATTGACCGGCCAGTTTTGAAAAAATGAATGTTATTATTTAATTCTGACATTGTCCATATTTGTAATGTATAAACGTGATAGTGTTTATTATTGATTTCATGTTTTTAAAAATAACACAAGATGATTAACATTCTTTTGCATTCAGTGTAATAACAATTAATGTTATGCTTAAAATAGCAATTAATTCAACAAATGAGAAAGATGCTCTTAGACAAGATATATGTATGTGTATATTTATATAAACTTGAATTTGACAAGAATTAGGAATTACGTTAACGAGTAAATGTCGTTCGTAAGCATTGGTTATTGGGGCAGTTTCCTACGCGATAAGAAACTCGACCTTTTTATAAACCACTGTAACGTATATTTATACATACACACAGCAAAACGTGTCGTAAAATCGCAATGCAAGCGTCTTATTATATGTTTCTTTTAATCGAAACAGCTGTAGCAAAAAATTAAATTTTCAATCTTACAATTATAAATTATAATACAGTAATAATCTACAACCTGATTTTGTCAAACGAATCTACATACAATAAATGCAATCTATGGTAGTTTTAGACCAACGATTGCTAATAAGAACTTGAAAGTTGTCTTTCAAAATAAAAGAAGAACCATCCTAACTTTTGACCTGATCCAGGACAAGATCCTTCCTTAAAGTTCTAATGCGAGTCGATGGTTTCTTGAACACCTTTTGATGCAATACCGCCGTTCAGTCACACAGCAATTATTTAATTAAGAAAATACGTTTTTATATTTTGTACATATTTTGAACATATTTTTGAGAACAATTTTACACAAACCTACGTCGTAAATCGAATGTACGCATGTATGTATAAAATCATACCTACCCGTTGTATGTACTTCACACATAGATACCAGCTGATATTATGAGATAGCGAACGGCACTTTTTACACAATGATTAATGAGAAGCTGAAAATAAAGTGCGAATTATAATTGATACGTATATATCTAACCGGAAATTAAATTAGATTAGAGCTACTAAGATAACTGTACGAATTATCTATAATCACAGGATGCAATTTACCTTCAACACTTGTAAAATGAATGTAATCTGCAAATGTGCCGGTTCAATACAATTTTAAAATATTTAATCTAAGTATTATACGTACGTATAAGATATATAATAAGTATAATATTATGTGATAGGTCTATCTCACTAATTTTGACTCCCCATTTCAGAGCCTTTTTGTGATGAAAATATATTCATTTTTAAATGTTTTTTGTCTGGAATAAATGTCAGTTAGCACATTGTAAAATTGTGCCAAATTTCGAGTGGATAGTGGATGTATGTGTGACGTAGTTATACCCAGATAGTTCAACTTATTTATTAACCAACCATACATAATAGTTTGAGGGAATTAATGACCTTTTTCGTTGTAATTTTCAATGCCCACTTCAATTTGGCTAGAATTTTAATTGCTTTGAGATAAGGCAGTTTTAAAAATACTTTTTGAAATCGCCTCGAACGCACACATATACACATTTATATGTATGTAGTCTTTAATGGTTGTGATAACCTTTATTCATTTATTTCACATAATGTTTATTTGCAAGCATATTCAAACAGATTTTATCTTATATAAAACAAATGGAAATACTATATTTTGTCCATAAAAGTTAATAGGTATCGCTTGTATTTTGTGTATTTATGATGTCCTAAAATTAATAATTTTAATGTAATTAAATATCATCAACCTCGATTATATTAAGACATTTATTTAAAGGTGTTTATTACATTTTATAAGAAATAACTGGCATTGTTTACTTCTGGAAAGATAATATGCGTTATTTATAATAGTGGAATGGAAAAAAAAGTAATTTACATACATATATAAATTTATATGTAAAATATATTTAGTAGAGTTAAGTTTTTCTTGCCCGATTTGTTTGTATCTAAAAAGCTATATCATGTGGTTTAATTTCTGATTAATGATGAAGTAAAAGTTGCTTCTTATCTTTTTTTAAGAAAGTAAATATTTCTGCTTAATAAGTTTTTAGTACTTACATGACTTTCGACTCGTTTAATTAACAATTTGTTTTTTATTTACAGGTGAGAATAATAGATTCTTTCTCCTCGATGTTCGCGCCTTTCCTAGAAAATCAAGACTATCTAAATGGGCCGAGCCAATTATGTAAGAATTTAAGCATATAGCTGTTTATTGTAATAGTTTTTTTCCGAAAATTTGTCGATAGTGTTAATTTTAATGGGTTATCAATACTTGGTTATATAAGCGTAACCTAATTTTTTGCAAATTGGTCAATTATTTTTTAATCCAATCTTGTATAACAGAATTTTATCGTGGCGTTACTATCACATGTGTGAAGTAATAATAATCGTCGTTTATCATTGAAAACATACAAATCGTTTTAATTAATTTATATTAAATTTATTCCTGTTTATTCTGCCGGTTACGGTGGAGTTAAGGTTCATATTTCTGAAAACGGGGCCATACAAATATAGTCGTACGTACCTACCTATGTATACCTACCAACATCGCGTATCGTCACAGTCTGTTGGTCTATTAACAGCGACATTCTATTTTGCTACTAACTAAGAAAATTGCAATTAATTACAATTTCGTTTTTGATTCCACTCGCATCTCTCGATACAACCAATAAACATTCCATATAATTAGAAACACGTGTTTGTAATGTAATCCGTATACAAGGCGCGTTACCATAATTTATTGGTTTTTAGTTTGTTTGTAGGTGAAATAATTAATTTTTTATCATACCCCTACCGGAAGGAAACACGAAATATTTCCTTATTTCATGGGAGAAAGCGCAACGTCCCCTCGCGGGAAAGTGTTTTACTACCCCCCTCGTCGAAATTACCACCTGAATTTAAGGCGAAGGTGGAAAGCAGTAAGCAGTAAATACAATTTCTTACCTGGGAAGTTATGCGATTGCACTTTGCCTGAAATCAGGATAAAATCGTACTTTTGGGTCACCACCATCAGTAGGGATTTACAGCCTTCAAGGAGTGTACCTCGGGTGCCAATTAACACCAATAACTCATTTATACTCATTCTTTTCGATAATGAGTTGCTGAGAAAGCTGCAATAATGTAGCAAAACGGTTAAAAAAAATTAAATTCCTTTATTTGATCCTTTGTCCAAATTCCTTTGAAATCTATGTAGTTTTATCAATTTTAAACGATTTAATGATTAACAGTTAAGTATTGCATATTTTTCGTGAGCAAATGATCTTACAAGCCCATAGTGTTGTACGGAAAACCCCCATGCCTACCACGTTTTTGCAAAGGTAAACATAAATGTTAAAAGTCCTAACATTAAACTTTGAACTTAACAGTATTTTTAAAGGTTTATGGATTAGCTTTACTAAATGTAATTTTAAACTTCATTCAGTGAATAAACTAAGGTTAAGAGTACCTACACACTTTTATGTTACAGCCCTAGAAAGTGTACAAAACTAAATTTTAACAAATCATAATCTATTAAATTGTCACGCAGTGCAATAAAACGTTAAACAAAATTCTTAGTAACCTACTTTTAACATTAATTAATAGCATTTATGTTAAGCATTTAGCTTTGTGTAATCGCAATATTATATAGAGAGACTTTTAGTGTTTAAAGTATAAGGATTACTGGAAATACTTCAGAATCGGATGAACCTTAGCCTTCGGTTGCATACTGACAAAACTCCGACCGTTTATTGAGTTCCACATTATTACCTCTGACCGCCGCTGTCTACAATGAGTTTATTATCTATAATTCTTTCCTTAGTTACGTAGCGTGAGGCACACAGTTGTCGTCCAAATCGGTGTTTTCGCAATGTAAAATATAGTAGTAGTGTCCGACCGAAAGTTCGGTTTCGGTTTCGGTCGAGTTTCGGCAAAAAAAAACGAGTTTCGGTTTAGTTTCGGTTTCGGCGGCAAACCTGCCGAAACTACGACCTAGCCGAAACTGCGTTCGGGACTTCTCGCGCTCTGCTCGGTCATGTTCGGCGCGTTAAATTCGATCCAAGCGAAGTAGATTAGTAGACATTTCGCCATAACATAAGATTGTTTAACTATGAATACTAATAAGAAATAACGATTACAGGTACCTACTTGAAATTATTAGTAGTCGTCGCCTTTTGCAATATTATGATCACGATTAGTTTATAATTTAGTCGTTTACCTTTTGTTTCTGTTGACGTTTAGTGTCATTCAACATGATGAAACTGAGACCGTTGCCGAAATTCGGTTTCGGTTTCGGTCGTAAAAACCAGTTTCGGTCGGACACTAAAATATAGTAAGGTCCGCCTTTTCCCATGTGAAGGAGCATTAGATTTTGTACGAACTATACCTGCGAACGTAAGTTTTTCGATATGAAGAAATTTTTTACGTTGTTATTATTAAGGATATGACAAGAAAACAGTTACATTTCTCTTTAGAAGTCTGTATGTGCCCTTATGACCTTATGCACCAGTCGCCACTGATATTTATAGATGTAAAAATTGTTTCAATGAATTTCTTGTGATGTATTTTTAGCCTCGTGCATGACATGTTCTTATTTAATCCTACCGAAAGTTTTGTTGAAAGCTTCTGTAACTTCAGATGTTATTTACATGATGTTTTAATGAAAGGATTTTCTTTAGATTTTTTTTTAAATTTTATTTTTAACTCTTGTTTGTACTGGATTCGCGGTTTAAGTAACGATTACAGTGTTTCAAAGAAAAAGTTGCCGTTCTTAAAACTAGAGTATGGTAAAAGAAATCAAAAGAGCACTTTAAATCCTTTTGTCTGTTTTGCTAAGTTAACAATTCTATGAATAGCTCGCAAATGTATAATGTTGACGACCGGCCCGTATTAAAGAAAGCGGTAAAGAACGGGCTTAAACCCCGAATAGCGGTTGTTAAAAATACGTTACATAAAGGTTTCCTCGGAATGTAAAATAAATTGTAATGCTTCGTTTAACATACGCCGAGAAGAAAAAAACATATTGTATACTTATGTGTATTTGAGTACCTATATAGCTTTGTCATTATTGCACCGTAAAACGTGTCTCAAATGAGGAACTTTATTATAAACTTGTCACGAGCAAGTCATCTCCATTATGAAGATGACAAAACGACGTTTCTAAGTAAGGCAAATAAACTGTGCTGAATAAGAAAAAAATTGAATAACCCATAATGCGAACAGCATATTCATTATATTCGGCCACCGTATATCATGAACAAACTAAACCTTTGCTTTGAAGACTGCTTGAGCCGTTGAATATAGTTTCATTATGCATTGACTCAATAAAGGTATCCAGTAACAGCACAAGTATTAGGGTATTACAGTAAAAGCTCTTCATTTGCGGGGTATACGTTCCATAAAGATGCCGCGAATACAGAAACCGTGGATATGGAATGGTAATTAGTATGGAATCATAGGGGATACGTTCTAATGTTCCATAATAAAACCAATATGTATCAGAATAAAATCAATTTATTGGGAAATTCGCAATTAAAATTAATCATTATAATCAGCTTTAGACAAGGGCTAAAAAAATTTTGTGATTTTTTCTTGTTTTGAATTTTGAATTAGTCCACTCGGTTACATCTTTTATAAAAGTCGCCTCGGCATATACCAACAGTACATACTCAAAAGATGCCGATACATTAAGGGGATTCAGTGGTACACGCGTCATAGAGTAAAAACATGCTTATCGGTTCTAGAAATCATGACTTTAATATTTGGAACAGAGGTTTGAAATTTTGTAGCAAGATAGATAAAGCTTTGTTCTAAAGCCTGTCGAAGGCCATTTTTTATTTCTTTAATTTCTATTGAAAATACGTGTCTTGCAAGAAACATCAACTTTAAGCACTTGTAAAAGCTTTTAATGACCATATTACTAAAAACCAAAAACGTACCGAGTTAGTGTGAACCTTTGTCTGTTACTATACAAAAAATTAGATATTTATCTCGCAGCGTTAAATCACAATGTTTAGAAGAGAAACCCATGGTTTCAAAAAAATTCACACTAGGCACGAGCGGTCTATTGCGGTCAATCCCCTTAATAAATGACACCGAATCCTTTTCTGTTTACCGATTGCATCCGTGAATAATGAAATTTTTAGCCGGGAATACAGGAACTGGATTGCAATTTTTTCACCCGCGCATAATGAAAACGCGAACAACGAAACCGTGAATAAGAAACTTTTACTGTAATAAATAACAACACTTGTTAACGTGAACAAACCGATAATGTAAACAAGTATGATCGACAGTGTAATTGTAAGATATACCTATACAATAATATAAATGAATGAATCCTACCTGTATTGTTAATGTAAAAATAATTGTAACAGGTAATAATTTTGACTGATTCATACGAACTGCCGCTGTACATAGGCATATTCATACGTAGAAGACGATCTAATGTAAACCTCTAACACTTTTGGTGTTAAAACATTAAATTAACGTTCATAGTTTGGTGGACCACCTACTCAAAGATATATTAAACTGTCTTGCTATTTGTACGATTTTGCTCGTGATTCACAGTATTAGAATTCCTAAAATGCCACAGTCGCAACTATGCATCAAAAGAAGACCCGCAGGTGTTTTTCGAAGAACACTCAAGCTGACCTGTTAAATCCTGAACGGTTTTTAAACGAACAGTTATTAGAAGATATTTCGATGTACCTAATACATATGTAAACATATAGGAAGACTTTTATGTTTTGGTGTAGATAACATTACGTAAAAACACATTTGTTAATCATGTACCTGTTATCAAATTATAATTTTTTTAATCCGCACGAAATTTATTTAATTGAGCACTTGTTTTTTTTTCAATAATGACTTGTCAATTAGATAGATAGAAAAATCAACAAACAAATATTTTGGCTTTCATCGTTGATGTTATTGTCAGATTTCGGGCTTTTTGGAAGTCGTTCAGAACTTTTTGTTCTCAACATTTTGTAGACACGCGTGGACGACATCTTCAAAAGTTCTTCTTTCTAAGGTGGTAGGTCGAAGTCTTTCAGGGGCTAAAACCCGAAAACTAACAATAATATAAGTACAGTCAAATATTGAAATACTCCATCCGGTGTCTTCCTTGATCAGGATAGACCCATTGCCCCGTAAAAATAAATTCTTAAGATGTAGAAAGGTCAAAGTTTTACCAATTAATTTAGAATTGTGGACTGAATTACTCATAATGAGTAAAGAAATAAAATAGGTGGGAAGTATGAAGGAAATTTAAACAAAAATCGTAAACGTTTATTAATGGCGATTTTACGTATGGTACCTATTGTACATCTTGAGTGCTCACGGTAAAGGCTGGAGTATTTCCAGTCTTTCCATCGTGAGCGTCTTCTATTTCACGGTAAAACGATACCATTTGGCCGTTGGTATGGTGTATTTACCTTCTCCTTGTTTTCCGTTCCCTTTATTCGACCAGATGTCCGTTTACAAACCACCTCCGATACAATCACTTCCACATTGTTCTGCACGCACTATAAAAAAAAAAAAAGAAAAATGTGATAACGAGTGGGCACACTTATTTCAGTAATGTGACCGTGGGGGGAACATAAGAGGAGAACCCGTTCTCCTCCGCTTTTAAGCGACGACAATAATTCCATTTCCATAATGCAACAATCGGCTTTACCATTAGTTCGTCGCTATGGTCCACTCGACGAAAGTAAGCCTTTTTACCGGACGTTTTCAGCATGGACTGTAGCCGGCGGCCTCTAGAAGGTCGGACACGCTCTGTTTAAAGGGTATGAGTTGGAGTGAGTGAGTTAGTGCGAGATTCGTGAGAGGAGGGGGAGACAATTATTGTAAAAGTGACTTTACTCAGCTGTCTACGACCGTCCAACGATCATGTGTACAGTAGCGGTCAACGGAAACTAAAATACATTTATTATTGATTTACTAACTACGTGGTCATCTTATTCTTCTTCTTGTTGGTCAGTCAGAAGCAGCAGGCGTGTGCTACTGCTCGCTCTCTTGCCTCTTGTGCTGTCTCTGCCCTCGAGTGCTGACGCTCGCTCGTTTTGTTGGCGTTTATTTTCGACTTCATCGTCTTCTTCGAGCTTACTGTAGAATTAACGCGACTACTATACATACATATGTATGCAACATGTAGGACGTGACCGATAACGGCCAAGAAGTAACACGGGAGCTGTTAGACTGCAGATGCGCTGAAATTGCATGTCGTATAATAACCCTCATGTTCGACTCGTTAAGCCGTTTCCATACAAACCTTGGCCAATATGTACTTACTAGAGACTTTTTGCACTCACGCGTGTATACGCCGTCAACATTTTGTGCCGAAATGTACGATTATTTTTATCATTTTACACTTAGATCGATGCGTCGAGGATTTACAGCAATAACACGACGAAATTTCGATTATTCAGGCCAGTGGACATTCGTTTCTATAAGCGAAGGTTTAATTTGTTCACGGTATACGGTGGCCTAGCGTAATTATTATGCTGTTTACTTTATAGTAGGTTCCATTTTGCGATGTTCACAACATCCACCATCTACTGTAATTAAAATTTGTTCGTGATATTTGTTAAATTTTATTCAAACATGAAGGTTATCAACATGTCTGGAAATCAAACAAAAACATTAACTATACTCATTAATATGCCAATAACTTTTTTTCTGTGTATGCCTACTTTTATTGTACATAAACACAAGATTAGATGGAAGATATTAGCAGAATTAAAATGACGAAAAAACCGCTAATAACGTCTGGTCAACAAATGACGTAAAAGGTTTAAAGGAATTAAAAATGTAACTATCTGATGCTAACAGATTAGATACAATCATAAACAGGATACTTCACGTACATCTTTTAAAGCCGAAATCCTAATTTATAACAATCGTATTTTATATGGCCTGTTAGTTAAAAAAGTTATTGTACCTAGTATTGTACATTAGGTTTATTTGTGAAGGTGCCCTTGTATTTGTTTTTATTTTAAATTCGGCGAACGATAACATTTCTGAATCTTTATTTATTAGTACATATTTTTCCGTTCTTTTTATCTTATAAAAAAAACATTCTGAATAAGCCGTCAGATTCTTTAGTAAAATCTTATCCTGAAAGTGTAAAAAATGTTTAATTTTTATTAGTTCATTCTCTTATAGTAACATTTTTTGAAAGGGACTTGCCCAATGATTGGTTTGGGATGATGGTAAGGGTGATATTTAATTCAATGTCCGCTAGAATTAGCCATAAGATTAGCCCACAAGACTATATACTTATAAATCCATTCATCAACTCCATTTATTGTGAATCTAAAGATATCTGTGATTTTTTTTCATACATATACTCTTCCTCATCCAGAATAATAGCGGCAGTCCTTAAATTTTGCTCGGACTACAAACGAAAAGTTCAAGTGTCAATACATACCTGTTATCAAATTGTTTACGTAGTCGACCTTAGTGTCGATTTATTGATTTTTTGTTATTCGCGAATGCTATCATTTCATAATTTTTCGGTTTTACATTGTATTACATAATATCCCTAATGCTTGTGTTACCGTAGCTTAAGTTTTTTTTTTTTCAAACTAAATCCGTAAGCATCCACAAATTATCTAACCTTGTTCATAAAACACACATGCCTCAGTATTATTTACAATGCACGCGAACATGAAATGCTTTTACACATACAGAATTATTTTCTTTGAGTAAACCACAACACCGGAAATCAATGTAAGATAAAATTTTGATTGTAGTTATTAGAGGATAATAATAATTTAATTGTTAAGAACAACAACACAACATTTGTTTCTGAGTGACTCTCGTTCGCATTTCCACAACATGAATTTACAATTTCTTCCTACAGTGATAAGACTTCCTTCAGTTTTACGATAACAGATATTCAAAATAAAATTAACACTATTTTTAACTTTACGTGTACACAATGCCAGACTGATTTCAACTTCAGTAAACTAACAATGATTTTGTTGTTTCAGGTTTTCAACCAAATTCGATTTATTCATTCAATAACAACCGTAACTGGCCAAAATAAAAAAATCTGGGTAAGTTCAACGATTAACATTGCTTATATTTGCTTAGATTCGTACATTAATTTAAATTAATTGTAAAATAAATTAATTCGTATCGGTAATGAACTAGGAATTTTTGCGAAATTGGCGGAATACTTGAAGGTGTTACAAAATTTTTAAGTATTTATACGAACTGAAAAAATTATTTTATAATTATCCTGCGATATACCCTCAAATTAATGTACTTATCCCATGAGATATTGTTAGACAGAAGCAAGAAGTTGCTTATAATAATAAGATCTCAGGGTGGTCACTCTTTTAGAAATTCGGAAAAGTAAGAGAATGTGAGTGGTCAAGGAAAGTGTCCTTATAACAATGCGGAACTAGAAATTATCTAGATATCGAGGGCTAATAGTAATTTAATCAGAAAAAAGGAGTAATGTTGGTTAAACCCTTGACTTCTCTATCTTCATCGTCTGTTTGAATCACTGGGAATATCAGGAAACCGAAAGTAACAGAAATTTTATCAAAAGGACAAACTAATATTGATTAAGTTCTCTATTTCTCAGTCTTCGTCTTTTGCTCGAAAGTGCATGCTTCTTGAAGGATTGAGAAAATTAAGAAACCCAAAAGTAATAGAAAATTGATAGGAAGAAATCAGTTACACTGGTTAAGCCCTTCAGTTCTCAACCTTCATCTTTTGCTTGAAAATACATAACTTCTTGAAGCACTGAGAATATCAGTAAGGATTGGCGGAAAGAAATCACATTGGTTAATTAAGCCCTCGACTTCTCTGCCTTCATCTTCTGCTCGAAAGTGCAGACTTCTTGGAGCTCTGAGAAAGTTAAAAAACACAGAAGTAATAGAAATCTGATCGGAAGAAAGCAGCCACCTTGGTAAAGCCCTTGAGTTCTCCACCTTCATCTTCTGCTTGAAAGTACATACTTTTTGAAACATTGAGAATATCAAGAAACCGAGAAGTAACAGAAATTTGATCGAAAGAAGGTAGTCACACTGGTTAAGCCTTTGAGTTTTCTGCCTTCATCTTTTGCTCGAAGAGTTGTACTTCTTAAAGCCCTGAGAAAATCTGAAAAACGAGAAGTAACGGAAATTCGATCGGAAAAGGGAAGTCTCATTAGTTAGGCGCTTAAAGTCTCTACCTTCATCTTTTGCTCGAAAATACATAAAAGAAAAAGTTGAATTTTTTTAGTTTAACGCCTGTTGCTGTACGGTCTGATGTAAAGTTTTCAGACTTTGTATTTATATAACGTTTACATCCAACGCAAACTAATTCACGTGGGAATGAATATATACCTTTGCGCGCAAATCTGTGTATAAAAGTCCATACGCCTTCGTGAATTCTTGAATCGGTTTGTGCTCCTTATTTCATTGCTGTCTTGCATCACCTACATAGGTATTGAATTGCTAATAAGACATAAAACTGCTTCCACGAATCAAAAACGACACAACAAAATTACATAATTTGCCAGTGAAGAACATTCACCAAATTTTTGATAAAAAAATCACGGTGGAAACAACCCCGAGTCAAAAAATTGGGACTCATTTTGTCCTCATTTGATCTCAATAGAATTTTTAGGGATATTTCAAACTACAAGACTCAAAAGTCTCATTTTATCCGCGGTTTTCCCGTATCAGGACAAAATGAGACTTTTGAGGAGTAAAGATTATTTAGGAAACCTCATTTTGTCTTCAAAAAGTCTCATTCTTTTCTTGTTGAGGTTAAATTGAGGACTATTGCCATAGGATTGCAGACATTGAGAATAAAATGAGACTTTTTAGAATCCAATGTGATGAGTCTTATGAAAACTTATTGAGGTATCTGAGATTAAAAACGTCTAAATGAGGAAAAAATGAGTCTAAATAGTTCATTTGAGGATAAAATGAGTCCCAATTTTTCGACTCGGGACGCCATCAGTTTCTTCAGTTATTTTCACTGTTGTCTTTGTTGTTTAAATATCAATACCTTTTTTACATATTGTTATTGTAGTCTGTGCATTTTTATTGAATTAATATGTGAGACGTACCGTCAATTTTAATTGAATGCGAATTATATTAATCGCTTGGATTAGCCATCAGGAATATTATTTTATCTTATTCACAGTCTGCTATCAAAATAACGTTGAATAGAACAATAAGTACTTGCAACATAATATAAAAACAAGTGATATTTTATAAGTGCATTTTTTTTGTTTTTATTGTTTAAGTAACATGTGGCTAACGCGTGGGATTGGCGTTAACTTGCAAAAAGGGCACTATAAAAGTTGCTTGACAAATCTGATTATTTGTAATCGTTACTAGGTTAATGCGGTTGTAGCTGGAAATAAAGCAATTGAACATTATGTTGTAGGAAGTATTCAAGTACTTTTGGAGGCGGTATGACTTTATGCAGTAGATAATTTAGACACATTCTTGTTAGCAAATTAAACCGTGTACCTATAATAGACATTTTCAAAGTTTATATCGGAGATAGAGCAACTGCGATGAAACGAAACAGCGTAGGATTTTTATTAATAATATAACTCTTCCAATTTTTTTTTTAATTTAAGTATCAACAGACTAAAGTTAAGTTCCTTAAAATAAGTTTTATTCATACTGTACAAACGTATGTTGCATCCCGTACAGCAATTACTCTCTTGAAACAAGAGGGAAACATTAACATTTAATCACAGGTATTTATTATCACCAAAAATCATTAAATCGAAGTAAAAATAAAGAATAAAGTATAAATGAAATCAATTCAAAAAGTATCCAAATTGTTGGAGATCTCTCGCTACCATCTGTATTAACCTGTAGGTAGTGTATTTCACGGCAAAATAAAGAAATGATGAAGGAGACTGGCGTTAATAATGTCTGCATTAAAAATGGGCGAACAGTAGTTTATTATTACGATTTCGATCTTATTAGATCTCATCAGCACGCCATTGGCAGTATCGATATATCACCAACCAAACCGATGATGTTCCGTTCAGATATATGGAGATCTAATAAGATCGAAATTGCGACCACCCCTGTAAAATTCATAAATTACCTAATGGGCAAGAGGTTCAGCTGGTTTCATATTATATTATATTAAAAGGTCGCTTAAAATGACATCGTCTGTAACAACATATTGTTTATAGGGGAGCTCTTTGTTTATTTTTAAGACGAAAGAAATGTGACGCATTGAGAACAGAATGTAGTGACTATGAAATTGGTTATAACGTTTATCGTAGACTGACCGTTTTATCCGAAGCCGTTATGGACAGTTTCGAATATATTATTTCGTACTTCACTAATACAAAAGAATTACCAGTAAATTCATTTGTTATATATCATTATACAATACGCATAAAAAAGCCTGTATGCGTTAGATCAATGTAGTTCCCATTTCTTCCCTCTGTTTTAATACTTATTTTAACAAGTATTATTTTAATGATCGAGAATTAGATTAGCGATTGCCTATCTTTAACCTTATGAACCTGATAAATTATTTTCATTCATAAATGGCATTTAATAGGTTTATTGTTAAAATCAGTTGCGTTTTAAATCTTTTTATTATAGGCATTCAATTCAACAGAAGTGAAAATCGATTTATTATTTTCATTCTCTATTGTTTCGACCTTGTTGCAATTATCACAAATTATGAAAGAAACGGGTTTTGTAAACTCATTGATAATAAACCAAGGTCAAATTGATTGAGAGAAAAATAATAATGGCGAATTGTTACACGCGTTTCTACGTTACATCCAATAGACGTGTATTTGTGTATGAAACAAGTCCACAATGCCTCTACATACCTGACGTGATCATGAGTTCACCATTATTCTGTTATAAAATTCATTCATTTATAGATATTGTTACTGTCTGTATTTATGGGCAAAAGTTATATACTTACATATATTTAGATTATTTAACGCAGTCTGCTTTCTTTTCCAAACTCTATGGAAAACCGCAAAACTTTTAACACTCATGACAATTTAGCTTCACTTTTTCAGTATTAGCTTAATAATTGACATTACAACCATTTTGATAAAAACTAGAAGAAAGTCTGAATTGATAGGTACCTTTTTTACTGTATATGAGAAGTCCAAAGAAATTCTTCTTTAGGTGAAGATAAACTTTGTAACCTAAAGGACAGGAAATCTTAAAGATAATTTTCTAATTTTTAAAAGGTTTTACTACCAAAAAAAAAATAAGAATAAAAAAAGAAAACAGTGGTGCAAGAGTTTGTTTTAACTCAAGCCACAAAACCATAATGGATCTAACCCACTGGTTTTTCCTGAATAACACACATCATGAAAATTCACTGAAAGGACTCGATATTGTTAATTGTAATTTTCTTGTGTGTGTTCGTTGGTGATCTAAGTTTTTCTACGTTCAAATTTATTGTGCTCGTTAACTGTCGCACAAAAAAGCTAGTAAACTGAAGTAATTAAAGTGACCGTGGCTGATGAAGGTTGTGACCGAATGATGAGAAGAGTTGCCGACGCCGCTGTCCTCTCTTCCCCGTTTTCATTCATAATGATTCTGCTGAAGAATTTCCAAGAGCCATCACGGTAGCTGTAAGCAATAACAATTGAAGCAAAACACGAATCGAAATTTGTGTTCACTGACCGTATTTCCTGTTGACGAAATAATTCAACCGTTTTCACAATCCTCGAAATTCAAACGCAGCTGGCTCGGCTCCTCTTTCCATGAAGCTGCACAGGCGGTGGATGTCGTCGAAACATTAGAGCATCGAAAGGAGAATGCAAAATGCAGCAGCGGTCAAGTTATACACTTATAAAACATTAAATATTTAACTTTTGTGGGCACTTAATCTCATAAAGTAAGTCAGTACCTATGTTTTAGTTTCATAGCTAAAAAGATATCAATAAGAATGATTTAAAAAATGTATTACATTCTTTCTGACTGTTTGTTGTTATTTGTTTGTGCAAGCCGCTGCTGCATTTGTTGCGAATTAAAACGAAAATGATCTATTAGAAGTGTAGCAATCAGAAGTTGTTTTATCATCAATTAAATGCTCTCTTCGG